TTTTTTTTTAATAATTTACTCACCCTTGTGTTGTTGACTTGTTATTTTGTTTAAAATAAAGGCAGAATGGCTGCTTCAGGCACCATTGACTTTCACTGTATAGAGAAAAATGCAGAAGAAAGGAAGTCACACATTAGACATGAGTGTATGTAAATGGTGACAGAATGTATATTTTTAGTGAAATATGTATTGAAGGCAACTTTTTGGGTGCTTTAGGAGGAGGAATTTAATTGGCTGCTGAAAGAAGAGGTGCATGCGGTGCTGAAACAGCTGCAAGACATTTTGAAGGTAACTTAAGATACTTAAAAATTAGCTTACTACAGAATAATTCTGTATTATTGTGCAAAAAAGGGCATTAATAATAACATTTGTTTGCTTTCACCAAAGGAGGCATCAAGGCGTTTTTCAATGCCGTCACCAGGTCTGGAAGGACAGCTGAAACAAGAGAACTTCATTCTGGGCAGCTCAACGTAAGAGCCATGAAACAAGACTGTTCTGTTTGGATAATTTTAGATTTAAAGTATACAGTCATGTTTGTTTTTTGTTACTACAGTTTAATGGGAATGTGTACAGTGCTGAAGATGTATAGAAATACTTGCATTTTCATTTATTTTTTAGGATGGACCAGGTGAAAGGTGTTTTGATGCTACAAGGAGAAGCTCTAACTCAGGCTGTAAGTGTGTTTCACACCATCATGAAAATAAAGTCAGCTTTCAGCATGAATGGCACTGCTTTGCTGCTGGTACTTCAATTGGCCTTTTTAAAATGTATGATACTATATTCAACGAAACATCTTTATGTCAGCCAGTGGAATTGCAAAGACACTTTGCAATGCAGTTTATCTGAGCTCAGTGATTACTTTTGCTATTATTAGAATCAATATAAAATGGGAAGAATAAAAAAATATATATTTTTCTGCAGGATATTAACATTAAAGTTGCTAAAAGCAGTCAAGTAATGCATTTTGCATTCCGAGATGATAAACAGTGGAAATTGCAGCAGGTAATGTTTCTTTCTCTTACTCTAAGATCTTTAAAAAAAATCAATCAATCAAAACAAGATCTTTAAAATGCCTTATTTCAACATGATCTCCTTTGGAGTGGTTTATATCTTATAAAAATAGCCGTTAAAACACATCCTGCCCGTTTAGATTCAGGATGCCCGAAACCATGTGAATCAGGCCCTGCAGTTACTAAGCAGCCATGACCAGAGTTATCACTTCAAAACTGGAGCTGAAGTCAATAAGGTCTGTTTTTCACCATACACAAATATTTACAGTTAATGTCCAGGGGCCAGATTCACGCAAAAAAAAAAAAATCTTCTAAAGAAAGAAGATAAGAAATTTCTTGAAACAAATACTATGTAAGTTCTTAAGTTCTCAAATATTTACTTAAGAACATCTAATTTTTTTAAGAAGGCGGCTGTCTTTTTGTGCTGCCTGCAGATTACCTTTCTTGTTACTCTCTGCACTTAGTCACATTTTTTTAACGCACCATAGTCATTTTCAAAGAGCATGTCTCAAGGTGTTGTGCTCCATCTTTCTTGTGTGCTGTACTTGTGTGTGCTCTGCTAGAGAGTGCACCTAGAAATAGGTCCCTATTTGATTGTGTAGAGTCCAGCAAAAAGTCAAGTTATCTTAACTATAAAAGGTTATTTACAATGATTTTTAAGTAGATTCTTTTCAGTAATCCAAATACTGTATTTCATACATTTTCTCTCTAGAACATTCATAAGAAATGTTTTTGAGAAAACTGGCCCCTGGTTTTCTTCGTGTGTACTTGTGGGGTTCATATGTGCAGAATTGAACTCTCCCGTGAGTACATTTGAAGCTGTTGTGTGCTAAATAGGAACATTCTTGCCTTACAGTCTTAACATTTTCACTGGTACTGTATGTGAAGTGAGATTGCACTCAGTGACATGATTCGTGTTTCAGCTTATGGATGCAGTAATGCTTCAGTTGACCCGAGCCCGAAACAGACTCACAACCCCGGCCAGCATGACTCTTCCTGAGCTCGCAGCCAGTGGCCTAATGGTTAGTATGCGGATCGTCACTTGATCTTAATGTGGAATTCTCCATGTGCTCTTGTGAATGTTTCTCCTGTTCTTTCTAGAAAATGTTCACACCTCCAATGCCTGGTGACGTGATGGTGAACTTCTATATCAATCTCAGTAAACTGTGTTTGACATTGTATCAACTACATGTCCTGCAGCCTAACACTACTAAGGTATCAAGCCATTTTCAAGCCATCAGCACTAAAAAAAGAAAACGACTTTTTTTTTTTTTTTTACAGTCATTCTTATCAAGAATGTGTGTTTTAAAATGCACAATCATTTTGTTTTCTGTTAGAACTTCAAATCAGCAGGAAGTTCAGTGCTGCATAATCCAGGAGCAATGTTGTAAGTGCTCACATTTCACATTTCCTGTTTTCATGCTGCAGCACCAGCAGTCAGTCTCATACAGTTTTTTTGTTTTTTAAATGGTCTGCTTGATAAAGTTTTTGTAATATTTGCTTTTTCTCCTCAAGTGAATACAACAACACCAAATTCGAGGTGAGCCACATCCATAAGGTGGAGTGCGTGGTGCCGTGGCTGAATGACACTCTGGTGTTTTTCACCATTTCCCTGCAGCTCTGTCAGCAGCTCAAAGATAAGGTGGGTGTGTCCTGTTGATAATGTAGCGATTATCATCTCACCTGCACAGTCACCGTCATCACTTAAGAACAATGCATGGTAACAGAATGACATCAGAGGGTTATCAGAGCTACTGGGCAGTTTAGAAGTAGTGCTGCAATAATTATTTATTAATTACCGTGATATTGTGAAACCTAATCTATTATTATTATTGGTTTTGATTAATAGAATTACTAGGATAATTCCAAATTACTAACAAAATTACCATTTTCAAGCTTTTTTTATTTTTTATTTTTTATGTATTTGTTTTTGTGAGACGTGTATGTCTGGTGGTATTTTTTTCAGCACTAATTTTTGTATTCCACCTAGAACAGTTTACAGCATTACCATTCAAAAGTTCGGGGTCAGTACGATTTATTTTTTGTTTTTATGTTTTTGAAAGAAGACTCTTATGCTCCCCAAGGCTGCATTTATTTGATCAAAACTACAGTAAAAACAGTAATATTGTTAAAAATTATTGCAATTTAAAATAATTGTTTTCTATTGGAATATATTTTTAAATGTAATTTATTCCTGTGATGCAAAGCTGAATTTTCAGCATCATTACTCCAGTCTTCATTGTCACATGATCTTTCAGAAATCATTCTTATATGCTGATTTGCTGCTTAAGAAAGAAACATTTATTATCAACGTTGAAAACATTGTGCTACTTAATATTTTTTATGAAAACCGTGAACACATTTTTTTTCTGGATTTTTTTAATGAATAGAAAGCTCAAAAGAACAGAATTTATTTGAAATAGAAATTTTGCGCACAATTTTTTTTACTGTACGTTTTAATCAATTTAATGCATCCTTGCTGAATAAAAGTATTTATTTCTTTAAAAAAAAAAAAACGTATTTAACCCAAACTTTGAACAGTAAGTAGTGTGAAATGTGGATCAGACCAGGTAAACTCACCAGTTGTTCTTAATGATTGTCCTGTAGACTAATTCAAATACCTGTGATCCACCATTTGCTTTGCAAAACACAAAGCAAAACTTTGACACAAAGGGAGCAGATCTAAATGGAATGCTGTAATCAATACGTTTCATTACCTAACAGAAGATACATTTTCATGTTAATTTCTTTCCTTTTATTTGCAGATTTCTGTCTTCTCTAGTTTCTGGAACTACAGACCATTTTAAGCTATTTCTGACCAAAACTCTACAGTGAATGATAATAAAAATGATCAAATTAATTATGCACTAGGAACAAAAAAAAATACCATGAACAATTTCCGTGAAATAATCTGTTGTGACTTTACTATATGACCGTGTATTCATTTTGTGTGCTTGTTCAGCATATGTTCTGCAGAAGAGGTAGAGTGCGCTGTGTATGTAGTATATGGACTGAATTTGTTCATTTGAAACGACAGGCTCTTCAGATGAAGGTATTCAGTGACACATTTTTTGTTTATGCAGTATATGTCATTGTCAGTGTTGACTGTTTTTCAGTAATCTAGCCTATATTGAAGTTAACCTCATCTAATATGTGTTTAGGCTTTAGGAAGGAAATGCTACTAAATACACAATGCTTACGTTCTTTTTTTTTTGTCACAAAAGCTGTGAAGTACTCCAGTTGATTTGTTGAGCGACCTCGTCAGACTCATTTTACCAGTGTTTTTGCCTTTTAGTCCAGGGGGTTGTAACATTTAACACTTGAACATTATCTGATGCCAGGGACTATCATCAGTGCAGAAAAGTGAAAGCATTGAGACCATTAGCATATGCTTATGAATGTGCATTAATGACCAATAGTGTATTTGCCATTGTGACTCAACTGTGGTATGACTATATTAACATTAAATGACAGATAACAGTGAACATGTCAGGGCTTCATATTCCATAATTCCATTAAAATGACACGCATTCCTGTGGATGGCTGCCTATGGAGCCGAGTTCAGCGTTTCTAATAAGCATCATTCCATTATGAAAAGCAACATTATGTTGAGCGATAGTCCAGATGCCATTCAGGGTTTGAGATCATTACAGAAAGTTCATTAACTTTGTCAGCTTTGTTTTATTTATTGCTACATTTTTTTATTTATTTCATGTTAAATGCACTTGATTTGCGTCCTTATTGATTTCATGCATGTTAATTTGAATATTGATTCATGTTTAAGTAAAACCTAAGCTATTTTCATGTTTATTTCACACTTAATATGGAATATTTTGTGCAATAAATGTACTATGAACATTATGAACCTTACTTTGCTCTTGTCCCATTTCTCAAAAATCTTTACACTGAATAAATGATCCAATGCCATTGTCTAAATAAAGTACCATGTTTGATATTTAGGCAAAGGTACATTTTATTTGCTATATGCTGTTCATTTGAAGGTATGTATCTATTTTTTTTGTTTGTTTACAAAGTCTAAAATTTATACAAACAATGTGGTACATTAAAAAAGTTAAACAAATATTGATACTCCTTTTTCTAAGGTACAGTTTTCACAAGTAAAGCATCGCTTATCTGTTTGCATTTTCTAAAATCTGAGAAGTCTCATCAGTCAAGTTATTTAAGCTTCTTTTTTCTCTTTTTTTATCTTCTGTAGTGTGTGTAGGTTCTGTATTTGTTTTATATATATATATATATTTATTATATATATTTCAGATTTAAAAGTCAAGCATTTGAAAGAACTCTACTAAAAACACTTAAATCTTGGACAAGGCTAATTCAGTGAAAAGGTGTAGGCTAAGTGGATCCAGTCTTAACAGTCAGGTACAAGATTAACAGATTAAACGTACTGTTCAATGGACAAGTAAAAACAAGTTAATTTCAACAGGCCATTTGTCAAGGGCCTGCATTGGTTCCATCCAGGAAAGTTGCTTCAATAAAGTGTGTAACCAGAAAGTAACCAATGTCTTCAAAACTGGTGAGCATGCTTGTATATAAAAATCTGTGTTCTCTCTGATGAAGTGGATCTGGTATCTATAATGGAATGCAACTTCAATCATGTGATTTCCTGGGTAAATATTAACTGCATTTTTACACAGTAGGGGAAGGTTTTTGCTTTTATCATCCCTATAAGGAAGTATCTACCTAAAATATTTTTCTCCTACCTCCATTATTTTACTTGTTCACATATAAATGGTGATTAGGTGGCAAAACTGATAGTAAAAAAATGGATGTAATGGTGCCTGTTGTTTCCGGAAGATCACGGCTCCATTCCCATATTGTCGATGCCCACCTTCTGTCTTCTTGGCTGTAACGTCGAAACAGTTGGTCACCGCAAATGTCATGACAGTTGTATTGTTTCATGAATCTATAGATAGGTTATCTGTGAGATTACACCAGTAGCATTCTGACCTTCTCATCACAGCAGCAGCAGCAACAGCAGCGGATGAGAACCAAGATAACCAGCAACAGGACCATGCCTATGGACATTTAACATAGTCTTAATGATTCCTACTTATGTTCATTTCTTATTTTTGCGTAATTCTACTTGCCTATAAAGATGAAGAAAACTGCGAAAGAGGCAATGTCCCAGTCGGACTGAAACATCTTCTTTGATTGTAGTCTTGAGACCACATCATTGAACTGGTTCTCAAAATCCTGTTGTATGTTCTTATCCATGACTTCAGTAAGAAGATTCCTAAATGCAGGGAATTATATTAATTACACGCTGCTAACAAATATCTCAAAATACAAACTGAGAAAAAAGCCTGATGCCCATAAACGAATCCAACCTGTTCCAAATGTACTCAAATGACATTCTGAATAAACGGGAAGTTTTGTCTTTACTAGTTTTCGACCAGAAGAACTTGTAAAAGAGATAAACTTGTAATAATAAACCACAACGAGAATCTTAAGGTATAATATATATTTTAAACTTCAGGAAAATATATTTTGAATTAAGAAACTAGAAACGATAGGGCAACTCATACGTTTATCCGGTTAAAAAATGACAGATTATGAGCTCAAATTCATGCGTTTAACACTTAGGCTATATCAATACTTAAATATTTTATCGTTTCTTTTTATAGCTATTAATCTTACAATCGTTAAAGTTGGGAAAATCAGATTACTCGATCCATCCTTATGTAGACTAATCGTATATAACACACATTTATTTTTGCAAAACATTTTATTATTTTGCCTAATTTGTCATAAATTGTCCCAATGTATCTTTCAGAGGAATTATCGATCTCTCACCTGTTGTTTTCGTCTGTCGTATTTCCGGGTTACTGTGTTACACCTGTCGCTGTGGCGCTAACAGGTGTGGCGTAATATTCAGTTCCTGTGAAAAACTGTTCCAGTGGGTGGAGTTACATGAATATTCATTAGTTCTCATATTGTGGGCGTGTCCTTGAGACAACGCGCAAACGAATGGAACTGAAAATATTAGTGCACGCTCTTCAAATCGCAACTTGTTTAATGGATTATTTCGAAAAGGTAACGAAGTTTCAATGTGAAGAATTAACTGCAACAGTGTCAAAACAATGCATAAATTTGTATAATATGATAAATCGTCTGAGCTGTTCTGCCTGAATGATTACAGGCACACAGCAGAGCAAACAAGAAGCGAATAACCTGTGCTTAACCATTAACCAGGCTAATATAGTTTTTACTCTTTGATGTGCTAAGCTTTTTATTTCATTTGTGAGACTAATTTTTGTTTGAATAGTTTGATTAGTAACCTACCTAGTTGTCATTGGTGACTAGTACTGCAGTGTGCTTACAACAGTGCTTGAAATAAACCTCTACAAATGGATCTGTGGCCTAATAAAATGTATGTAAGTTAGTCTGTTGGAGTATCCTGTGTAATTCTTATTTTTTTTTTATTTTGTATATAGCCAGTGTTTCTGTTACCTATATAAGCTACATACCTACAGAGATTTTTTTTTTTTGTAATTAAAATGCTAATCATTATAACAAACATTGCAGTTTGTAATTGATTAAATAATACAGTGCATAAAACCTTTAAAGCACTGTTATGATGGCACGGTCTTCTTGGACATAGGTCAGCAGCTACTCCAAGAATATTATTTTATTTTTATTTTAAGAAATCATACGTCATCATCACCAATGTCATAATATGGCTTTGTTTTGCTTTTGTGATGTTTCCACATATATTGATCATCGTGTAAAGTCACTGGTTCAGATTGGATGTGAGAGTCACTGGTAGCCGATCACTGTGTGAACTGGACATACATGGAGGCTGTTTTAATAATTATCTCAGACTCCAGACACTCACTTAATTTTGCATTGCTTTATTCCATATACACATATTGTTTTGAAAGTTTTCTCGTCTTTTCAATTTGAGTTATATTTATAAAGCAATTACTTCCGTACTTTTAGTAACATTTAATGATTGTAACTAATTATATTCTATATAATCTACAATAGAATTTGTAGGTTTTTAATTTGCTATAAAGAGATAACATTTGATTTGTTAACCTGCATGTCATGTTACTATTAACCGACATCAGAGAACTGTGAACATGAAAGTGTGTTCTTAAAGTACTGAAATATATACTAACTTTAATTATTCTCAGAAGATATTAATCTTAGGAGGAGTTGGGAGGACAGAGTTTGGCTGACAACAATGTTTGGGAATCCCTGTCCAACAGTGTTGAAGATCAGAAATGGTTTCATTGTGTGTGTGTATGTATATACATATATATATATATATATATATATATAATTTTTTTATGATATATATTATTTATCTTATTTTATTATTTAATATAAAATATACATAAAACGATTACGGGAAGTCATTACTTTAAAAGCCCGTGTTCAATGAAACATCGTTTTAGGACAACTTTGATGAAAGGTTTTGATCCACTTCAAATGTTGACTAGTGTATACTTGAAATATATTTTCAAGTATGTATATACTTGAAAAATTAGAAAAACACTTTTGAATAAGATTTTCAGATGTTAAGCATGATTAACACAACACTGTGGATCTTGACATTTTGGATGCTTTCACACACCATTCTTAAACATATGACATGAAAGTAGGTTGTTTTTCAGTGCAACAGATGGTCAAAGAACAGACACATTTTAAAGGGACAGTTCGTTCAAAAATAAAAATTCACTCACTCTCCTGTTGTTTCAAGGTTGTATGACTCATTCTTCTGTAGAAGACAGTTTGAGAAATAATGACAGAGTTGTCATTTTTGGGTGCACTTATACCTTTAATCTATTAGTGCTTGGAGATTGGTGATTCCCAAACAGGTGAATGTGGAAAGATTTTGATGTTTTTTTAATAAATAAAAAAAGCTTAAAAAATATTAATAATAAAAAAGAAATATGTGACATATTTGCACATTAAATGCACATTTACTTGTAAGACATTAATAATTCTACATGATATCCAGTATAATATGAAGAAGAAAAAAAGAACAGGATACTCACACCAGTTTTGCTTATATACATTTTATTAGGCCACAGATCCATTTGTAGAGGTTTATTTCAAGCACTGTTGTAAGCACACTGCAGTACTAGTCACCAATGACAACTAGGTAGGTTACTAATCAAACTATTCAATCAAAATTTAGTCTCACAAATGAAATAAAAAGCTTAGCACATCAAAGAGTAAAAACAATATTAGCCTGGTTAATGGTTAAGCACAGGTTATTCGCTTCTTGTTTGCTCTGCTGTGTGCCTGTCATTCAGGCAGAACAGCTCAGACGATTTATCATATTACACAAAATATGCATTGTTTTGACACTGTTGCAGTTAATTCTTCACAATGAAACTTCGTTACCTTTTCGAAATAGTGCACGCTTTTCAACTCGCTTTAATGGATTAATATTTTCGGTGCCATTCGTTTGCGCGTTGTCTCAAGGACACGCCCACAATATGAGAACTAATGAATATTCATGTAACTCCACCCACTGGAACAGTTTTTCACAGGAACTGAATATTACACAACACCTGCACGTCTTGAAGGCAGTTCAAGGCAGATGTTTTTTCGGTGGGATGGTTTTGCGGAAGTGGGATAATTGCACAAAAACTACACGAATCTATAAAGTCAGTGGCCTTTAATGTGGTGCTGACAAAATATGAACTACAGAGGGATACACCATACCCTACTCAATAATAAAACAGCTAATGCAGTCTGTATTCCATTCAATAAATCAACATTTCTTTTGATTTGCGATGTATTCAGTGTTTTTATTCAGATTCATGTAGCATTAGGATGGTAAACACATAAACAGAATTTAAAAATGTCAACAACAACAATAATATTACTAATAATATTAAAAGGATCGTTGAGGGTCAATAATCGCTATATATACTAAGATAATAGAAAGAAAAGAATAAGAAAGAAAGAAAAAGAAAATGAAAGAAGAAATATTGTGATGGAGGGACTAGTACCAAACATCCACTAAAGGGGTCGCTGTCTCACTTTACTCAATATAAGAGAAATGACCTCTGACCCTTTGTTTACGTGGAAGGAGAGCTGTTCGTGCTTCCGTGTTTTATTTCCTGGAGTTACCTGCTCAGTTTTAAAGAGATGGCTACGGTACCGGCCCAGTCTCTCCGGGTCTCAGAAATTAAAGACCCCGCCGTTTTATTTGAACGCTACAGTACGGATGAGATCCGCGCTGTCGAGAGGAAAGTGCGCGGAGAGATAGAACAGAAGAAGGAGGAACTTCGACAGATGGTCGGTGAACGTTACCGGGATTTGATCGACGCTGCTGACACGATCGGCGAGATGAGACAGTGCTCGGAGAGTGTCGTTCAGTCCATCCAGGACATGTTTCGGTACTGCAACAAACTGAAACAGTCCAAACACGCCTCTCAGTCCAGCGGCAAAGCAGAGGTAAAGCTCTTGTGCTGCTCTCGTTCTGGAGTACTGGGACAAAACAGCCTGCAGCAATTAAAATAATAAAGTTTATGTATTTTTTATTCTTACTTAATTTACTCCGTTTGGTCAGATATTCTCGCCTGCATGAGTGCAACTTGCTTCTTTAATGTTCTCGTCACTCAATATGGGTCCACACCGCCAGATACAAACACAACATGTCAAATGTTTGTTATAAACAAATATAGCTTTCACTTCTTTGAAATAATGTCTCAAGACTACAGGATTCAAACTATTCGCTATCCGCATCTCCATCTATTAAATTGCCACCATTGTCAGAAATAAAATCACAATGTTGACAAGATATGACATGATCCCTCAGAAATCCTTATAATATGTTAATTTGCTGCTCAAGACATTTCTTATTATGCGCAAAGCTGAAAACAGTTGTGCTGCTTAATATTTTTTTCAGGATTCTTTGATGAATACGTTTTTTAAAAAACAATCTATTTGAAATAGAAATCTTTTACAAGATTTGTAATTTTTCATATTAATTTCTTTAAAAAAAATCTTACTGACCTCAAACTTTAGAAAGATATGTATATATATATTATATATATAGAGAGAGAGAGAGAGAGAGAGAGAGAGAGAACTTATCAGGTTATGTGTAAATACTGTAAATCCATGCCTCAATTCTTTATTGGTGTCCAGTTTCTATCAATATACAACAAATCCCTAAAGTCATAACTCAATTTAGATGTTCATGAGATGTGTTGGCAATGTGTTTTTGTTCCTGGCAGGGTCAGAAACAGTCACAGGAGAAATTCTACACAATGGCATCACAGATAAAGCTCCTTCTGGAAATCCCTGAGCGTGTGTGGAGCGCGATGGAGTCCTCGCAGTACCTGCAGGCCACGCAGCTCTACCTGCTGTGCTGTCACCTTCACAGCCAGCTACACTTGGAGGGCAGAGGGCATCAATACAGCCCCGTCCTCTCTCACTTCCCCATCCTGGTGCGCCAGGTAGCAGCTGCTGGTCATTTCAGGTGCGTTATTGAATCACATCGCTGTATAAGGGATAGTGCACCCAAAAACGAAAAAAAAATTTCTCACCCTCATGTTGTTCCAAACCCATAAGACACACATTAATAGTCATATGAGATTGTTAATAAGATGCATGCTATTTTTAATATATTCATAAGATTCGTTTTACAGTGCCTTTATAACCTTTTTGCATCTTTTATGTTTTAATTACCTGGACTTTCAGTCGGGGAACAGAAACCTCTTAGGTTTCATTAAAGTTACTTTAATTAGTTTTTGGAAGATTAACCAAAGTCTTACAGGTTTGGAATGACATGAGGATGAGTAAATGATGACAGAATTCTCATTTTTGTGTGTACTATCCCTTTAAACGCATTTTAAATGCACCATTTGGTTTAGTTTCTTTCTCTTACTAAAAGCTGGTTGTCT